GGTTAAAGGTATCCCCTAGTCGGGAGCTCCAGACTAGAATCTCTTACTTGTTCAATTTGAGTTTCAGGAAAAAGTCGAAAAATGTAGAGTATGTTACCTAAGCCTAAACACTTCGCTGAGTTAAATTCCGCGTTTTCCTGTGTCCGACATGAGTGAAACTAAAAACCAATAACTGTTTTTCTGCGATATACGTGGAGGAAGCACTTTGGCATAATCAATATAGCCACTTAAGTTTCTTGGAGCACGACTGATTTTGCCACAAAATTTATGGTGCGTGAGATAGAAGGAGGTGATCTTTCATCCAAAGTGTAATGTAAGACATGTTTGATAAGCAAAACACACGTGTTGTTCGTGCATTTTCTAATTCATCGGGAAATAGAGCCAGTAAACTTTTCGCGCTAGTTCATTCGGATGTGCTTAGACTTTTTGAGACCAGATCAATAGCGGTAATTGATATTACCTTCATATATTTCATTAAAATGAAAGATGATGTGTTATTTTTTGCATTTAAGCATTTGATGGAGAGTGGTAGACGAGTAACGTGTATTCGTAGCGACAATGAGCGTGAATACGTGAACAACACGTTTGAGGAGTATCTCAATAATAAGGATATAGCACGACAACTGACAATACCGTATTCGCCGCAGCAGAAAGAAGTGGTTGAAAGGGCGAACCGAACATTGGTTGTAATGTCACGATGCCTGCTTGTACATTCTGCTTTGAAGGAGTCTTTTATAGGCGAAGGCACTATTCAGAGAGGCTAGAAATATGACGCCAATAGAAGTATGAAATGTTAAAGAACCCTCCATTTGTCACTTTAATGTTGGGATAATAACAAAACTATCGGATATGCGAGCAATTAAAAAGTATATCGTTTGTATAATTCAAACTCTGGACAAGTGATCGAGCAGAGGGATGCTCTGTTCGATAAGCAATACAGCAGTGAACTGTACGATACTGGAGCCATTACATTTGATCTTACAACGACGAATATCAACGTCGGAATAAAAAATGACAGCAGCAGCGACAATTTAATGAGTGCACTCAAGGTACCAGGTTTGGGACCAGGTAGACAAAAATTAGTTCGCTATGGAAAGCGAGGACGAACCAAGAAGCAGTACAGTATTCTTGGCGCTTTGGTAAGTACCACGAATACCTACATGCTACGAGTCTATTAGGTGTTCCAAAGGTTCACTTGACAATGAACATAGAATACGACCCTCTGATGTTGAATACAACTATGCGCATTATCAATAAAGATCAGCACTTTGTTAAAGTATCAGGTGTTGATCAAAATTGATTCTTGATTGCACCAGCATAAGAAAGATAGTCGCAATGAATAATAAATGAATACGTGATTTGTTTTGTCGACAAAGCAATGAAAACTGCACGCCTTTGGATGCTGGATACCAAAATGTTTTCATAAATAAGGAGTGTAGCAAAGTGAATGCGTCGCAATACCAATAATTTATGGAGAAACTAATGTGGCTGACGACGATTAGGCCGGACATTTGCACTCAGTAACAAAATTAACGCAGTGCAATAGGGAACCACATAGCTAACACCTTGCAGGCGTTAAACATGCTCTAAGGTATCTGGCATCAATAACACTTGAAGCTGCACTACAAAGAAAAAATAAATCTTGTATATTGCATGGCTTTCGAGTAGTAGCGTAGCGCGACCTACATTTGTATAATTAGTCGCCCATACATTTGAAAGTGACGCAAAATCTCTTGGCTGGCTTCTCATCTGGCTTTCCCCACTTAACCAGACATGCCAGCCGACTGACTTGTCCGCTCTCCAAAAACCAGACGAACGACTTATACAAAATGCATTCATATGTAAATACAATTTGGGGAAGGTCATGGTCAGCGCTAAAAAACTAATAAAATGTATTATTTTGTCGGTAACAGTCCAAGCAGTAGTGCATAACAATACACTCAATTATGCTGTTATGTATAAACACACATACAAACATAATTGCCTGCAAGGGTCTTACATTCTATTTTTAGCTTTTTCGGTCTTTCAGTCGGGAAAGCGCAATGATACTGAATTCGTATTTGTTCCCAATTAAAAAAAAAAACTAGCTGCAAAGTTGTATTTTGTTGTATGGCGATACCTATCTTAGTGTTTATATTGTCTGTGGTTCATGGAATTCCCAAGTAGAGTTCTTCCTACAAGAGCCTCTTCTCTGTGTTTTTATACCCTTGCAGAGGGTATTATAGTTTTGTCGCGAAATGTGTAACGCATAGAAGGAGACATCTCCGACCCCATAAAGTATATATATATTCTCTATCAGCATCAACAGCTGAGTCGATAAAGCCATGTTCCTCTGTCCGTCTGTCTGTTTCTATGGGAACTAGTCTCTCAGTTTTTAAGCTATTTAAAAATAAAACTTTGCAGAAGTCCCTCTTTCTGTTGCACTCAGCACATATGTCAAACCCAAAATTACACATGTATAAGAACTTTAAAGTATGTATGTGTGCGTTGTTATTCACAGCTCTGGCTTTAGCTGACAAGAAATTAATTTTGTTAGTTTTGTAGTGCAGATTATGAGCTATCCCAAATTTGTGTTGATAGATGAGTGCATTTTGTGTACTGAGGTTGGCTCCGTAGAAAATATGTATTTCTAAGTCGATGCAAATATTTACATAATTTCTTTAAATTAAATTAATATTATTTTTATTCTCCAATTAAGAAATAAAAGAGTGCTAAAAAATACAATTACATAATTATTTGTATAAATAAATATCACTTTTGATTCAATATTTAGTTAGATATTTCAATTTAGATTAGTGCGCTTGGGATTGGGGGTAGGTCGTGTTCTGCGCTAAATAAGTAAGAAAATTGTTTCTCTGCCAGCCAGAGACTTTGCCAGAGCTATCCACTGCAACACATTCAAATATGCTGTGTTGTATGTATATTCAAACACATACATACATAATTGCTTGCACTTCCCTCATTATTTCTTTAATTTATTTTATATAACTTAAAAATAATAATAATTTAATTAATAATATCAAATATAAAAAATTACATAAATATTTGCATCGACTTAAAAATACATATTTTGTATAGAGCCAACCTCAGTACACAAATTGCATTCATATATCAACAGAAATTTTGGGTAGGTCGTGATTTGCGCTAAAAAAACTAAGAAAGTTGTTTCTTTGCCAGCCAGAGACTTTGCCAGAGCAGTGGATAACAACACATTCAAATATGCTGTTATGTATGTATATTCACACGCATACAAACATAATGGCTTGCACAGTCGTCACAGAGCCGAAGCTGAGAGCAAATTCTCTTTTTAGCTTTTTCGTTCTCGCGGCTGTGAGAGCGCAATGCTACACATTTCGTTTTCGTTCTCAATTTTCAAAAAGTCAAGCTGCATAGTAGCATTTTGTTGTATGGCGTTACTCATCTTAGTGTTTGTATTGTCTTTGGTTTCACTATGCTCCTCATATTTATGCAAAATCCTATTAAGATCGGACCACTATATCATATAGCTACCATAGGAACGATCGGTTGAAAACTAAGTTGTTGTATGAACAAACAATTTGTTTTTCAAGATATCTTGACCAAACTCGGCATTTATTAGTTTTTTTATGCTCCTCATATATAGGCAAAATACTATTAAGCTCGGCCACCAATATCATATAGCTGCCATAGGAACGGAACGATCGGTCGAAAACTAGGTTTTTGACTAAAAACCCTGTGCTTCTTAGATATGAGTAAATCACTTTAAGCATTTTGACAAGGTTGGGTTTGCAAGGGTATTAGATCTTCGGCGTGCGGAAAATAATGTGTTTGAAATGTGGCAATTTATTGTTTAATTTAATAAATTTTAATCGTAATTGATTTTTGTTCCGTGCATTAGTGCTTGAAGACGGTTTGCCGATGTGCAACCGAAATATATTACAAGCAAAATAGCCATCATTAAGTTACTAAACGACACATGTTGTTGGTTGGATGATATGTAAACAACAAATTTATTAACAAAACATAACTTTAAAAGGTGCAGACAATTAACAGACTTCGAAAAAAGCGAAGGTACGTAAATGTGTGTATGTGTGTGCTCATTGCAACAATTTTTACATGCTGAGAGTAGTTAGCATAAACTTAACATAACCTCTTATTGACATTAAAATAAACAACCGGTTCAATTTTAGAAACTAACGACGGCAAACTTGCTGTTTGACTGCCATGATCTGATCGTAGTGATCTAACTTGGTGATGTTGGTGAGCTTTTCGGTAGTGTGTTCTTTTCAGACAACATGGTAGAATAGAAACATGTGTGACATAGCCCGAAATGTCCGAATGTTAGAACTAGTTCTGTCCATGATATAGTTATTTTCGATGGTTGCAAAAATTTCTCCGCATTGAAAATATAATTGTCCACATTAATGTCATGTTGTTGGCAGGGTGATTGGGACTCGGCATCACGTAGAAATCTGGGTCCTGTAAACCAAAAAACACGACACGATATCAAAAGCCGACATTGTAATTTATGTACATTCTCGTTATGTCCGCTTAAGCAACCAATCGAAAACGAAGGAGAAGAAAAGCAACTCATTCAATGAATGCTGGAATAACGCAGTTCATAAGGCGTCAAACACGACTCATAACGTCGTCGGTTGATTGCTGGGCTTAAATACCCAATGGTGAGGTACGTGGAAGTGTCGATAAGTTAATCTTAGATTCGTCACTAAAGACATGTGTCCGAGATCCTCATATTCCGTCATGAAGGTTAGATATAAAGATTAAGCCCCAGGCGGGGGTAAGACCCTTCAGCGCGAAAGGAGGCCTGTGATTGTCTGGATCTGTACAACCGCCGGACGTTCTCTGTACAGAGGAGGTCAATCCGAGCAGGCCGGTGAAATTTTGGAGTGTGATGCAGATTTGAAGAGTTACTTTAAACGTTGATAAACGATATTTAATTTCAGTAGCAGTCAGCTGTTGAACTTAGTCTGTGTATTCACGATACTACAAATTGAAACTTTTATTTATTCTTATCACGACATAGATAACCCCTCAGGAAATTGTCTTGAGAATATAAATCATGTAAGTCTCTGCATTATTTTCATGCACCTGATGAATCTTGCACTAGTACTTTTACAGTTGCTAGAATTACCTGTCCGCCTTGAAATCGTTTCATATGTGAATGCTAGCAGCAGAAGTCGTTGATGGCATTTCCTCTATCGATGGTGGCGATGTTTACGATGGTGATGCAATCGCTTGCGATGGTTGGTCAAGGTACAGCACCAATTAATACAGATTCCAGTATTTTTGACGACTCTGTACTTAGGTGTGGGCCTCATGTTTTGAATCAGAACATTGTACAATTTTGTTGTCGGAGCTGAAACAAAAAATGCATGCATAGAAGGGAAAATGTCGCCTGGCTCCTACATCGACTGACAGCGAAAAGCTTAACTCCATCTTTACTGGTACAGACGGCAACTGCAACTTTTCGGTATGGAAGCTTTAAGGAGTGTGAAAAGACCAGCCATCTTTAGCTCTCCGATCCGATGGGCCATAGTGGTCTCTGGCTTTGATCGGACGAGGAAAACGAAAATCCATCTGCTGATCAGCTTTCTTCTTATTCTTTTCAAATTTCTTCGTCACTAATGTGAATGTTTTTTTTTTCATGCTGGTCCTAACTGCAAGGCTCAAATTCAAGAACCGGGCGGTCGTGCGATAGCGGAATGGCGGGGCGTTGCCGTGTTCCTCCAAAATGTTGGGGCTGATTCTGCGATACCCTAAATACAGTGAAAATGGGGAAAAGTTGGTTTTGAATCATAGTTTTGTGTAAATATATGTAACAGTAAGAAGGAAGCACCTCCGATACCATAAAGTATATACATTCTTGGCCAACATTAATAATTAAGTCGATCTCGTTTCAGTATGTTGAAGGTTGTTCAAGCCCTCTCAGTTTGTTTCCGATAGTCGGTAACATCCACAATTCCAAGCAATTGATATAAATCTATATTAAATTCCTGTTCTTTATGAATACCTCTTAAGCTTCAAAAGCTATGCCACAATACAAAGATATACCAAACAGCCTTTTTATCGGATAACGATAAATCGCAACGAGGGAACCCCAAGGGTGCCTGCGACTATTTTAGTGTGCCCAGACAGAATAAGACTCCTGACAGTGGCAGCCGCTGAGCGAGTTGCGGCTTTATACTGAACGTTCGGCTCTCGAGGCGGGCGTTCGGCTGCCACTCTCAGCAGTCCTACTTTGTATGGGCACACTAAAATAGTCACAGGTACCATTTAGGTTCCCTCGTTGCGATTTATGGTTATCCGATAACAAGGCTGTATGGTTAGTGGCTATGCTCAACAACCCCGTAAAATCAAACAAATAGAAGTTCCTATTGGAATCACACAATGTAAAACTAAATTTTAAGTCTATTGCCGTTTTAAAAATAGACGATTAGTCAATGCACAATAGGATCTAGTTCAGGAAGATCGAGTAAGAAACACAGCAGCTATAAACAAAACGTGTGGTTATATTGGTTAGCCGCTTGGAGGCCAACGCAAAAGTAGTTTCTGCATGCATGGTGTATTGTATTATAATATCCTTGCAGAGGGTATAATAATTTTGTCGTGAAATCTGTAACGCATAGAATGAGACATCTCCGACTCCATAAAGTATATATATTCTTTATCAGCATCAACAGCCGAGTCAGGTCCCTCTGTCCGTCTGTCTGTTTCTATGGGACCTGGTCTCTCAGATTTTAAGCTATCTTAATGAAACGTTGCAGAAGTCCTTTTTTTGTTGCACGCAGCACATATGTCAAAACCAGCTGGATCGGACTACTATATCATATAGCTGCCATAGGAACGATCGGTCGAAAATTAAGGTTTTTTATGAAAAAGCATTTTGTTCATCAAGATATCTTGACCAAACTCGGCATATACAGCTGTGAATAAAATAATAGCACCACTACAACACATTTTGTTCTTGATGAAAAAAAAATGCGATTACTGTTCCGATTTTTGTGAAAATTTATTTTATTTTATATTGTTTAGTATTCCCCATAAATAAAAACAGTGTTAGCGTTCTTCAAATTTCTGTCTATATGTTCTTTTTGGGGGATTTTAAGAAAAAACCCAAAGCAGAAAAAAAATAGCAGCATTAGCCACCTCCTAGCGAATCCTCGTTATATTGCGGAATTGCCTTTGCAGAATGAACGTACTTATTAGTTTTGACTAAGATATAATTTTTTCTATCATAAAAATTAATAAAAATCATTACGATGGAACGTGGAGTGCACTGCACTGCATAGAAGCACGATCTTATCAAAAAATTGATATTGGACGGAAAAACTTACAGAGATGATGGTCAATTTGTAGGATACTCCAATAAAATAATTAAAAACGTCATAAACTATCAAAACTAGAGTTTCTAGTCGGGAGCTCCCGACTAGGGGATACCCTGAACCCTCTTTTTCCAAATCAAATGCATATATATTCTATATTAGAAGCTAAATGTCAAGTTCGGTGACTCTAGTTCTTATTATTTACCAAAATTGTCCAAAAAACAGGATATCGATATCGATTTCTATCGATTGCTTGAAAACTGAGTAAAGTATCGATTATCGGAAATAAACTCGATCTGCGCGGGAACTAGGAGCACCTACATCATTTCAAGACAGAATAAGACTGCTGATAGTGGCTGCCGCTAAACGAGTTGCGGCTTCATACTGAACGTTCGGGTTTCTGGGCCGACGTTCGGCTCCCGACTATAACCTCTTGCTTGGTCATATATGTTGTTAAAAGCTATAATGCTATTTTCTCGCCTTCAATTTGCATTCTTTCATTTTTTAATATACTTTTCGGAGTAGTATACTATTTAAATAGAAAATCCTCGAGAATTACTATTTTTATACCTTTGAACCAATTGGTATAAGGGTATATTTCATTTGTGCAGCATCAAAATGTATGTAACAGGCAGAAGGAATTATCTCCGACCCCATAAAGTATATATATTCTTGAGCAGCACTAATAGCCGATTCGATCTAGCCATGTCTATCTGTCAGTCTGTCTGTCAGTATGTATGAACGCAAGGATTTCAGAACCTATAAGAGCTACAGAAATTTCAATGTAGGTGCTCCTAGTACCTGCGCAGATCGAGTTTGTTTCCGATAATCGATAATTTACTCCGTTTCAAAGCAATCGATAAAAATCGATATCGCCATCCTGTTTTTTGGCCAATTTTGGTAAATAATAAGAACTAGAGTCACCAAACTTGACAAATAGCTTCTAAAATAGAATATATATATGCATTTAATGTTGGAAGAAGAGGGTTAAAGGTATCCCCTAGTCGGGAGCTCCCGACTAGAATCCCTTACTTGTTCAATTTGAGTTTCAGGAAAAAGTCGAAAAATGTAGAGTATGTTACCTAAGCCTAAACACTTTGCTGAGTTAAATTACGCGTTTTCCTGTGTCCGTTTTTCTGCGATATACGTGGAGGAAGCACTTTGGCATAATCAATATAGCCACTTAAGTTTCTTGGAGCACGACTGATTTTGCCACAAAATTGATGGTGCGTGAGATAGAAGGAGGTGATCTTTCATCCAAAGTGTCATGTAAGACATGTTTGATAAGCAAAACACACGTGTTGTACGTGCATTTTCTAATTCATCGGGAAATAGAGCCAGTAAACTTTTCGCGCTAGTTCATTCGGATGTGCGTAGACTTTTTGAGACCAGATCAATAGCGGTAAGCGATATTACCTTCATATATTTCATTAAAATGAAAGATGATGTGTTATTTTTTGCATTTAAGCATTTGATGGAGAGTGGTAGACGAGTAACGTGTATTCGTAGCGACAATGAGCGTGAATACGTGAACAACACGTTTGAGGAGTATCTCAATAATAAGGATATAGCACGACAACTGACAATACCGTATTCGCCGCAGCAGAAAGAAGTGGTTGAAAGGGCGAACCGAACATTGGTTGTAATGTCACGATGCCTGCTTGTACATTCTGCTTTGAAGGAGTCTTTTATAGGCGAAGGCACTATTCAGAGCGGTTAGAAATATGACGCCAATAGAAGTATGGAATGTTAAAGAACCCTCCATTTGTCACTTTAATGTTGGGATAATATCAAAACTATCGGATATGCGAGCAATTAAAAAGTATATCGTTTGTATAATTCAAACTCTGGACAAGTGATCGAGCAGAGGGATGCTCTGTTCGATAAGCAATACAGCAGTGAACTGTACGATACTGGAGCCATTACATTTGATCTTACAACGACGAATATCAACGTCGGAATAAAAAATGACAGCAGCAGCGACAATTTAATGAGTGCACTCAAGGTACCAGGTTTGGGACCAGGTAGACAAAAATTAGTTCGCTATGGAAAGCGAGGACGAACCAAGAAGCAGTACAGTATTCTTGGCGCTTTGGTCAGTACCACGAATACCTACATGCTCCGAGTCTATTAGCTGTTCCAAAGGTTCACTTGACAATGAACATAGAATACGACCCTCTGATGTTGAATACAACTATGCGCATTGTCAATAAAGATCAGCACGTTGTTAAAGTATCAGGTGTTGATCAAAATTGATCCTTGATTGCACCAGCATAAGAAAGATAGTCGCAATGAATAATAAATGAATACGTGATTTGTTTTGTCGACAAAGCAATGAAAACTGCACGCCTTTGGATGCTGGATACCAAAATGTTTTCATAAATAAGGAGTGTAGCAAAGTGAATGCGTCGCAATACCAATAATTTATGGAGAAACTAATGTGGCTGACGACGATTAGGCCGGACATTTTGCACTCAGTAACAAAATTAACGCAGTGCAATAGAGAACCACATAGCTAACACCTTGCAGGCGTTAAACATGCTCTAAGGTATCTGGCATCAATAACACTTGAAGCTGCACTACAAAGAAAAAATAAATCTTGTATATTGCATGGCTTTCGAGTCGTAGCGTAGCGCGACCTACATTTGTATAATTAGTCGCCCATACATTTGAAAGTGACGCAAAATCTCTTGGCTGGCTTCTCATCTGGCTTTCCCCACTTAACCAGACATGCCAGCCGACTGACTTGTCCGCTCTCCAAAAGCCAGACGAACGACTTATACAAAATGCATTCATATGTAAATACAATTTGGGGAAGGTCATGGTCAGCGCTAAAAAACTAATAAAATGTATTATTTTGTCGGTAACAGTCCAAGCAGTAGTGCATAACAATACACTCAATTATGCTGTTATGTATAAACACACATACAAACATAATTGCCTGCAAGGGTCTTACATTCTATTTTTGGCTTTTTCGGTCTTTCAGTCGGGAAAGCGCAATGATACTGAATTCGTATTTGTTCCCAATTTAAAAAAAAAATCTAGCTGCAAAGTTGTATTTTGTTGTATGGCGATACCTATCTTAGTGTTTATATTGTCTGTGGTTTAGGAATTCCCAAGTAGAGTTCTTCCTACAAGAGCCTCTTCTCTGTGTTTTTATACCCTTGCAGAGGGTATTATAATTTTGTCGCGAAATGTGTAACGCATAGACAAAAGACATCTCCGACCCCATAAAGTATATATATATTCTCTATCAGCATCAACAGCTGAGTCGATAAAGCCATGTTCCTCTGTCCGTCTGTCTGTTTCTATGGGAACTAGTCTCTCAGTTTTTAAGCTATTTAAAAATAAAACTTTGCAGAAGTCCCTCTTTCTGTTGCACGCAGCACATATGTCAAACCCAAAATTACACATGTATAAGAACTTTAAAGTATGTATGTATGCGTTGTTATTCACAGCTCTGGCTTTAGCTGACAAGAAATTAATTTTGTTAGTTTTGTAGTGCAGATTATGAGCTATCCCAAATTTGTGTTGATAGATGAGTGCATTTTGTGTACTGAGGATGGCTCCGTAGAAAATATGTATTTCTAAGTCGATGCAAATATTTACATAATTTCTTTAAATTAAATTAATATTATTTTTATTCTCCAATTAAGAAATAAAAGAGTGCTAAAAAATACAATTACATATTTATTTGTATAAATAAATATCACTTTTGATTCAATATTTAGTTAGATATTTCAATTTAGATTAGTGCGCTTGGGATTGGGGGTAGGTCGTGTTCTGCGCTAAATAACTAAGAAAATTGTTTCTCTGCCAGCCAGAGACTTTGCCAGAGCTATCCACTGCAACACATTCAAATATGCTGTGTTGTATGTATATTCAAACACATACATACATAATTGCTTGCACTTCCCTCATTATTTCTTTAATTTATTTTATATAACTTAAAAATAATAATAATTTAATTAATAATATCAAATATAAAAAATTACATAAATATTTGCATCGACTTAAAAATACATATTTTGAATAGAGCCAACCTCAGTACACAAAATGCATTCATATATCAACAGAAATTTTGGGTAGGTCGTGATTTGCGCTAAAAAAACTAAGAAAGTTGTTTCTTTGCCAGCCAGAGACTTTGCCAGAGCAGTGGATAACAACACATTCAAATATGCTGTTATGTATGTATATTCACACGCATACAAACATAATTGCTTGCACAGCCGTCACAGAGCCGAAGCTGAGAGCAAATTCTCTTTTTAGCTTTTTCGTTCTCGCGGCTGTGAGAGCGCAATGCTACACATTTCGTTTTCGTTCTCAATTTTCAAAAAGTCAAGCTGCATAGTAGCATTTTGTTGTATGGCGTTACTCATCTTAGTGTTTGTATTGTCTTTGGTTTCACTATGCTCCTCATATTTATGCAAAATCCTATTAAGATCGGACCACTATATCATATAGCTACCATAGGAACGATCGGTTGAAAACTAAGTTGTTGTATGAACAAACAATTTGTTTTTCAAGATATCTTGACCAAACTCGGCATTTATTAGTTTTTTTATGCTCCTCATATATAGGCAAAATACTATTAAGATCGGCCACCAATACCATATAGCTGCCATAGGAACGATCGGTCGAAAATTAAGTTGTATAAAAAACATTTTGGTTCTCAAGATATCTTTTCTAAACTCGGCATTTATTAGTTTTACTATACTCTTCGTATATATGCAAAATCCTATTAAGATCGGACCACTATATCATATAGCTGCCATAGGAACGATCGGTCGAAAACTAGGTTTTTGACTAAAAACCCTGTGCTTCTTAGATATGAGCAAATCACTTTAAGCATTTTGACAAGGTTGGGTTTGCAAGGGTATTAGATCTTCGGCGTGCGGAAAATAATGTGTTTGAAATGTGGCAATTTATTGTTTAATTTAATAAATTTTAATCGTAATTGATTTTTGTTCCGTGCATTAGTGCTTGAAGACGGTTTGCCGATGTGCAACCGAAATATATTACAAGCAAAATAGCCATCATTAAGTTACTAAACGACACATGTTGTTGGTTGGATGATATGTAAACAACAAATTTATTAACAAAACATAACTTTAAAAGGTGCAGACAATTAACAGACTTCGAAAAAAGCGAAGGTACGTAAATGTGTGTATGTGTGTGCTCATTGCATCAATTTTTACATGCTAAGAGTAGTTAGCATAAACTTAACATAACCTCTTATTGACATTAAAATAAACAACCGGTTCAATTTTAGAAACTAACGACGGCAAACTTGCTGTTTGACTGCCATGATCTGATCGTAGTGATCTAACTTGGTGATGTTGGTGAGCTTTTCGGTAGTGTGTTCTTTTCAGACAACATGGTAGAATAGAAACATGTGTGACATAGCCCGAAATGTCCGAATGTTAGAACTAGTTCTGTCCATGATAAAGTTATTTTCGATGGTTGCAAAAATTTCTTCGCATTGAAAATATAATTGTCCACATTAATGTCATGTTGTTGGCAGGGTGATTGGGACTCGGCATCACGTAGAAATCTGGGTCCTGTAAACCAAAAAACACGACACGATATCAAAAGCCGACATTGTAATTTATGTACATTCTCGTTATGTCCGCTTAAATGGCATAATCAACCAATCGAAAACGAAGGAGAAGAAAAGCAACTCATTCAATGAATGCTGGAATAATGCAGTTCATAAGGCGTCAAACACGACTCATAACGTCGTCGGTTGATTGCTGGGCTTAAATACCCAATGGTGAGGTACGTGGAAGTGTCGATAAGTTAATCTTAGATTCGTCACTAAAGACATGTGTCCGAGATCCTCATATTCCGTCATGAAGGTTAGATATTAAGATTAAACCCCAGGCGGGGGTAAGACCCTTCAGCGCGAAAGCAGGCCTGTGATTGCCTGGATCTGTACAACCGCCGGACGTTCTCTGTACAGAGGAGGTCAATCCGAGCAGGCCGGTGAAATTTTGGAGTGTGATGCAGATTTGAAGAGTTACTTTAAACGTTGATAAACGATATTTAATTTCAGTAGCAGTCAGCTGTTGAATTTAGTCTGTGTATTCACGATACTACAAATTGAAACTTTTATTTATTCTTATCACGACATAGATAACCCCTCATGAAATTGACTTGAGAACATAAATCAAGTAAGTCTCTGCATTATTTTCATGCACCTGATAAATGTTGCACTAGTACTTTTGCAGTTGCTAGAATTACCTGTCCTCCTTGAAATCGATTCATATGTGAATGCTAGCAGCAGAAGTCGTTGATGGCATTTCCTCTATCGATGGTGGCGATGTTTACGATGGTGATGCAATCGCTTGCGATGGTTGGTCAAGGTACAGCACCAATTAATACAGATTCCAGCATTTTTGACGACTCTGTACTTAGGTTTGGGCCTCATGTTTTGAATCAGAACATTGTACAATTTTGTTGTCGGAGCTGAAACAAAAAATGCATGCATAGAAAGGAAAATGTCGCCTGTCTCCTACATCGACTGACAGCGAAAAGCTTAACGCCATCTTCTCTGGTACAGACGGCAACTGCAACGTTTCGGTATGGAAGCTTTAAGGAGTGTGAAAAGACCAGCCATCTTTAGCTCTCCGATCCGATGGGCCATAGTGGTCTCTGGCTTTGATCGGACGAGGAAAACGATAATCCATCTGCTGATCAGCTGCAGGCAACGTTCATTTCCGCATAGCCTGATCGAAACGCTGCTGCTAATACTTCTAGCAAATAGAAGTACTTTCCTGTGGAGACTGAGATTCTATGCAATGTGTTCTTGTTAAAAAAGGAGCCTGGACAGCAGATAAATAAACAACATAGCAGCCAATCTTGGCAAACCACCAGCTCAGTTGGAGTCATATCGTCCTATCAGTTTGCTTCCAGTACTATCAAAAAGCTTTAAGCAACTATTGCTGTACAGGCGATGACACTTAACATAGACATGCGCCTGGTCCCGTAACATGAATTTGATTTTTGGAAGTCCTACACCTATCCTAAGTTGGTCCAATGTGTTGTATATCATATATTCGAAAAAAAAAATCTTTGTAAGGTCGGGCACGGAAGCCTTCTCTTTAAACTGAAGGAGGAGTGTCATCCTTCAATATCCATAACTCCCTGCTTGTGGGCGTACCTTTAGCGTAGTCATCAAGGGTAAAAACATTGGTATGAAGAGCATCAGACCTGGAGTTACTTGCAAGGAAGTTTGCTCGTCCCAGCAAACATCCTCTCCGATAGGTGAAACAACACCTACATCTGACAAGGACTTGGCATGCCATTAAAAAGTGGCTTTTGAAGGTCGAAAATAAATAGCTCAACTATGCCAAATGAGCGTGTCTCATATTCACGCCTTGAGGGGGAGGGACAACATACTATCGCCTTCTGTTATTTGGGCGTCCATCTAGAACACAGTTTGACTTGCAAGCGCACAATACACCTACCAGAGCTGGGTGCTTGGTCTAGAAAAAAGGAGCTACTCGTTAAAAGGCTCATTCGAATTTCGCCTTTTACATCACGAATGACCCCCATCGAATGTGACCTCCGCCTCATAAAGGTTGGAGATCAAATGACCACTTTCAACAGCCGCTATGCCTTCCTTCTGAATGATATTCCAACAGTGCTGCAGCGATTGGTTCCGGACCCGCTCGGACGATGAGAACGGCGAACGGTTTTTCAGAGAATCTCTAAGTACGATTAATATCATTTGATTTTACCACCAGCAACAAAAAAGGTTCTACAATATCCAATATTTTAGACCTGTATGTAAAGGAGGACGAAGTGAGACCAAAATAGAAAAGCTTAAGCTATCAAGAAAGTTAGACGCTTTTGAAAGCAAGGTAGCTAAAGCAATTGCACTAAAGATAATATTCCATGCTGCCCGGACTCCAACAGATAAATAAAATGCTGCCCACTATCGCAAACGTCTTTGAAAAAAACCTGCTTTTTCATCTTGCTGTCGACACTTTCAAGATTTTACAAGAGTACCAGATTGGGAAAAGTACTGTGCCATTTTCTAGCCTCTTGACAGGCTTTTTACCGGGTCTCTTTTATAAGTTTATGACATCAAAGGACTCTGGAAGCTGCTCCGATATGTGCCCATTCGGGCTGGTGTTCCTCAGAGATGTGTCCTTCGGCAAATAACTTACACTGTCTGCACATAACATATTCCCAGTTCAGACACCCGGAGGCCACTTACAGCAACATTCGCATACGACACTGCTTTTCTGATATTGATACTAATTTGGGTTTCAGGAGCTAAGTGGTTGTCTTAATGGGGAAGACGGCTTGATCGGCGCCTCCGTTCAAATTATTTTTATAATGCTGAAAGGATGATCCAACATCATTTTCGGTTTTCAGTTGGTGACACCCTTCTCTACGTCCACTATTTTCACACGTCGGTGCTCCAAATCCAGGCTATAATACGTTTTCGATATTTTGTCTCTCTTTCACTAAACCAGCAGTGTTTGAAGTAGACAGTTGCCTTAGTCACCGAAGTTGACGTCCTATGAGTTAGACCGTTTATGAATACGACACGCAATTCAGACATCAGGACGGTGAATGCCGTTCACCAAATGAGCCGCGACCAAAAAACCACGACGTTTTCAGTAAAAAGGAGGCTATGCTCACGGGTTTAATAGATTACATCGGTGTAGTGCGGTATGTTTATACCCTGAACCCATTAAAATGGGTATAAGGGTATATTGTATTGGTGCAAAATCCAAATGTATGTAACAGGCAGAAGGAAGCAACTCCGACCCCATAAAGTATATATATTCTTGATCAGCATCAGAATCATCCGTCTGTCTGTCTGTCCGTCCGTCCGTCCGTCTGTCCGTATGTATGAACGCAAGGATTTCAGAACCTATAAGAGCTAGACACTTGAAATTTTAGATGTAGATGCTCCTAGTGCATGCGCAGATCGAGTTTGTTTCCGATATTCGATAATATACTCCGTTTCAAAGCAATCTTTCAAAATCGATATCGATTTCCTGTTTTTTGGGCAATTTTGGTAAATAATAAGAGCTAGAGTCACCAAACTTGACATATAGCTTCTAAAATAGAATATAAATATGCATTTGATGTTGGAAGAAGAGGGTTCAGGGTATCCCCTAGTCGGGAACTCCCGACTAGAACGTCTTGTTAAGGATTAATAAATTAGCAAGCAACTAATTTGTGTTTCTCATTATCTCTAATGCAGGCCGAAGCGCGCTTAGCAGCTCGTCGTCTAGCTCGCGCTGAAGCTCGGGAGATACGAATGCGTGAGCTTGAGCGACAACAAAAGGAATTGGAGCAAAACGCTGACCGTGCATTCGATATGCAAAGCACAAGTGGCAGTGTTATTATTGACACACTCTCATCACATCCCACACGCCACGGATATAGTGGTCTTGTAAATTTGGTACGTGCAACAACATCGCGACGCAGTAGTGAAGATTCATTGGAGGACGAAGGTCGCAGTTTCCGTGATATTAAACACGAACTTAAAGTAGGTATCTTTAAATATATTAAATACGACAGATAATTACAAAGATAACGTTCGTTAAGAACATTTCTCAGTTTCCAGTGTAAAATAAAGTCAAATCAAGGGTCGAAATAAACCGTGTCATCAATATTTTGCAAAGCTTTGTAGAGGGTATTATTATAATGAATTATAATATGCCCTAAAGTTCGATTAGCATCAACAGTAGTGATACAGCCAGGTCTGTCTGTCTGTTACTATGCCAACTAATCTATCAGCCTTAGAGCTAATGTGAAAAATTGCATAGGTTTGACTTTCTGTTGTAGGCAGTACATATATCGTAATCGGCCGGATGACTATATCATATAGCTGCCATAGGAACAATCGGTGTAAAAGTAGGTTCTTTTATGAAAACAATTTTATACCCTGAACCCATTAAAAAAGGGTATAAGGGTATATTGTATTTGTGCGAAATCCAAATGTAATGTAAATGTAACAGGCAGAAGGAAGCATCTCCGACCCCATAAAGTCTATATATATTCTTAATCAGCATCAATAGCCGAGTCGATCTAGCCATGTCCGTCTGTCTGTCCGTCCGTCCGTCCGTATGTATGAACGCAAGGATCTCAGAACCTATAAGAGCTAGAGACTTGAAATTTTAAATGTTGGTGCTCCTAGTTCCCGCGCAGATCGAGTTTACTTCCGATAATCGATAACTTACTCCGTTTCCAAGCAATCGATAAAAATCGATAACGATAACCTGTTTTTTGGGCAATTTTGGTAAATAATAAGAGCTAGAGTCACCAAACTTGACATATAGCTACTAAAATAGAATATATGTGTGCATTTGATGTTGGAAGAAGAGGGTTCAGTGTATCCCCTAGTCGGAAGCTCCTGACTAGAACCTCTTACTTGTTACATATTATAATTGTGCGTTGAACTGGCAGCCTTGGCCTTGCTGCCACAGCAATTGCCGCGGGTCATGCGCCTAGTTTTTATTTTTTTTTTATTGCTTTAAACGAGCACGTTGCGGGAACTGCATTTGGTGTTGGAATAAGAGGGTTCAGGGTATTTCCTAGTCGGGTGCGTGTAAAAGAAAAAGTTAATGGTCGTGAGTTGTTAAAATTTACTGATGCTTCTATGAATACTTTCCAGATACCTAATTTCGTTGCTAAATCAGGCTTGATACACAAATTGTCATAGGAATATGTCAACACTGTGGATCTTTTTAGCAGTAAATGAATAGAATAAATTATAATACTGTTTAGTCGTGTGCTTGAAAAACTCCGTGAAACTTTATTCCAGAAAACTGAAAAAGTTTTTTATAACTGGAAAAAAATTGTTTCTATAGTTTTTTATTAGCACAGATTTCATTCATACCAACAATTTTGATGATATTCTGGAATAGCTTCACCCCTTTTTGTTTTTGTTTCTATAAATCTTGAACTACTTAATTATTGTTTATTTAAAAATGTTTGTGTTCGTTTATCTACTAAGGATAATACTGGATTTGTTTTCATCACCTTACTTGCGTATGATCCAGAGCATAATCGGAAATATATTATTATAATTTTTAATTGGCAGATTTTAACTAGAATTTTTACAAAATTTATATAAATTCAGACAGTACTGCACCTAAATATGTCACACTGTTTTGTAGATTCGGCTGATGATTCAGGCATTGCCAAATTAATTTAACGCAAAAACACTTATTTAAGACTTTATTGAAGAATTGAGTGTTTAAGTTTCGTGCAACGTCCATGTCGCTGTCCATGAACGCATTTTATTTTATGTTTGCAGTAAGCGGCTTGAAACTTGAAATAATATGTCGTGTATAAAAAGTTAAAAAAAAGTGTTGGAATTAAATGGATACGCCCACTAGAATTAAGAAAATTTGTTTCTCCTAGTTTTAGAACTAGAAGGACCAAATTAAGAATGCAAAGCACCTCTTAAGATTGATCCAAAAATCGTTTGCCCACGCCGACCGCAATGAATCATAAAAATTGATATATCTTAACAAATTATGTTGGTAGTCTGTTTCAAGCTGCTATTGCGCTGTGGACGAGTATACTACCTACGGAAGCTACATGCCTAAAATTTGAAATACATCTATTTCCTCACATCATACGCAAAATGAATTCATATATTTTGTCAACATATCGTCATATTTCCAGAATATATGTAGATTATAATAGGTTTTGCGACGTGTTTTAGGCATAACTTTTAAACTATAAGCTGGCACCTTTATCTCTTACTTCGACTCTAAGTTCTCATTCATTCAGCATATAAACTATATTATTCTTAAGGCGTATGCGATTTTGGGTTCGTTAGGCGCAATTCTACCCAGTTTAAAGACCCTTTCACAAGATTATGTTCGGCCTTTGTGCGGCCAATATAAGAGAATGCCTCTTTTATTTGAAGCCCATCCACAATTGTGCACACAAATAGGATTGAAAGGCTGCAAAAAAAGTTTTTAAAATTTATAGTCCATTGCCTTAACTTTGCTGACTCCTTACCGCCACACAGAGCTAGGTGGCGATTACTACATTTGTCATCTCTGGAAGATAGAAGAGTAATATCAGTGTTGCTTTTTCTAAACAATTTAATTGTAGGAATAATTGACTGCCCTTCCCTTCTAGCACGCGTTAACTTTAATGTGCCGAGCAGATCTTTGCGATACCATTTGCCGTTTTCTGTGGGGTCTCATAGAACCAAAGACAATATAAACACTAAGATGAGTTACGCCATACAACAAAATGCTACTATGCAGCTAGATTTTTTGAAAATTGAGAACGAAAACGAAATCTGTAGCATTGCGCTCTCACAGCCGAAAGAACGAAAAAGCTAAAAATAGAAAAAAGCTAAAAATAGCAATTATGTTTGTATGCGTGTGAATATACATACATACATAACAGCATATTTAAATGTGTTGTTATCCACTGCTCTGGCAAAGTCTCTGACTGGCAAAGAAACAATTTTCTTAGTCTTTTAGCGCAGATCACGACCTACCACAAAGTTCTGTTGATAAATGAATGCATTTCGTGTACAGAGGTTGGCTCCGTCCAAAAAAATTTGTATTTTTAAGTCGATGCAAATGTAATTTTTTATATTTGAATTTATTAATTAAATTATTATTTATTTTAAGTAATACAAAATAAATTAAGGAAATAAAAGGGCAAATTTGTTGTTTTCAAAGATACATTTAATTAATTTTTATTTTATTAATTTTTGTTCCTACTATAAAGAACAAAGGTGGCAGGGAACACCGCGAGGAGGCCATTATAATTATAATGGGGTCATAACTAAATATGACCTTCGAGTCGACTTGAAATGTAATTGTATTTTTTAGCTTTTTTTTCTTCTTAATTGGAGAATTAAAATAATATTAATTAAATTTAAAGAAATGATGTAAATATTTGCATCGACTAGAAATACATATTTTCTGCGGAGCCAACCTCAGTACACAAAATGCATTCATATATCAACACAAATTTAGGATAGATCAGGATCTGCGCTAGAAAACTAACAAAATTAATTTCTTGCCAGCTAAAGCCACAGCAATGAATAACAACACATACCTACATACTTTATAGTTCTTATGCATGTATAATTCACGCATACAACGAAAGGTGCACGCACGCTATTGGCTGAGACAAGAACTTTTTTCGAGCATACACTGTCCAAAAGAAAAGTGAAATCAATCTATGTGTGTTATTTTCTTAACATAGTTATTGCGCAAGAAGCGCCTTGTGTAAAAATTATAAAAGTTCTTAAATTTTCCTGTAAAATTATTTGTTAATATCTAGGGGAATATATCATTTAAATAAAGCATGCATTTCATGGATAAAGCACCAGCACTTTGCGTCGATCGTAAGTTCTAAACTTTTTCGCTCAATATACTTCGAAAACGAAACGACGCAAAGCAGCATCGACCAGCTTTGCTGAAGGCAGGCTGGCGATTAACTTCGTAGCTCGTGTCAGCATCAGCAAGCCGCGACTTCGGCATTCGTTCGTCTGGTCTTTGGAGAACGAACAACTAGTCGGCAGGTATGCCGTACGAAGCCTCAAAGGCCAGATGAAAGGCCAGGGTAGAAATTTTGCGTCGCATTCAAATGTATGGACGTTACTCATCTTAGTATTTATATTTTCTTTGATAGAACTGCTTATGCAAGTAATGAGCCTATCAGCAGATCATTAAAGCTTTATAACAGTCTTTCATCTGAAATGCACTTTGATTTTTCTGCCAATAGTGCTCATAATAGGCAGAAGCTTACAAAATTCTTTCTTTAAGACTAATTAGTTTTGCATTTTCTTTAAGTTAAGATTTTCTGTTTAGTTAGTTAGCCATTTAATGTAATATTTTTAAGTTAAGATAACAAGCTACCAGAATTGGTTAATAAGTAAATAAATAAATAATGAAAAATGTATGTAGGCTCTTGTGTAGTATAAAGATTGAGAATATTTCAATTTCCTGCCATAAATTAAAAAATCTGATTATATATATTCACGATAATTTAATTTGAGCAACACATATTTCTGAATGGTATTGTTTTTCATACCTCCACTTGTCGAGTGTGTTATTTCACGGCATTTTTTATACATTTACTATGGATAATACAGGACTGCCAGCAACCTGAAGCCAGTCTAAAAACAGTCTTATTGAAAGATCATTGCCATCCTGTATTAATGTTGTTATTCGAGTGAGCGTGGGCGTCCCTGTTTTCTGAAGTTTAATAGACTGTCGATACAACTCAAATGCAGACAATATAAATCATAAAGTTTTATTTTATTATAATGAAAACTGTGATAGCCATATTGTTAACTATTGTTAATGGCAGATCACAATACTGGCGTGGTGGCAATGTAATAGACGGGTAGCAGCCGCAATGCAGCATTAAGCTATCTTTCTTAGGCGGCATGTCGCAGCGGGAATGTATAATTGTGCTGGCTTCGTGACAAGTACATTTATTGAAAAATTGTATTAATTAGTATCTGGCTGACTTATAACTACGTTTATATAATCTTCA